CGACGTTTTTTCCCCTCTTTTCAAAAGCGTTGATTGAATCATTTAAAATTCCTAAAAAGTCATAATTAGTTGTCTAATGAAGTCAGCATGTCTGAAAACACTGCTTCACAATTCAAGTTTTTTGTGGAACTTTTTTCAAACAGCCTATTTCACAACTCTGCCTTTTGCTGGAGGTTCCTACCATAGTCCTACAGTAATGAAGGGCGATGGGTGATTCGCTCCGTACTGCAAATCTAAGTTGAAGCCTCCTCTACTGAATGACACTCAAAGCCTAAGAAAAGACTCAGTGAGAGGAGAGTTATCACGATCAAAAAGTGTGTACTTACTTTTGGGTCACTCTGTATATGTGTATTCAGCTTTTTAAGACGCACCCATTGGCAAATGAATGGTACAGTCATCACGTATCCTATCTACGTAACAGCAATGACCTATGTTCAACCAAAAAATGTTGCTTTCATTATATATGGATGATGACAGGATGCAAGACATCTTCTTGGGTTTACTCATAAGCTTGGAGATTCCTCCTTTATAATTATATGACCACTTTACAAATTAGCGTTCAAGGCTCGCAATTGATATAGAGCGTATTGCTGCCTTACTTAAAACGCTGATTGCAATCATACACGCCATGCTTTACAAGATATGCTTCATAGCAATTTTTCAGCACATCGCGGATATTGCGATAGTGGATGGACCTACTTCAACGAGACAGAAGCTTGCTATAAGGTATATGCTAATCTCTATGATGAAAAACGATGTTGCGCAATCCAACCATAGCGTGAAACATGCACAAACTCAATTCGTCCAGTTGTTGAAATACATCACATCGAAACGAGCAGAGTGTAGTAATCAGACATTGCCTCACACAAATCTGCTTGTGTTTTTTCCTTAACTTTCGTGTTGCGTTATGTACTCAGACGAGATACGCATAGTTCACATACGAATCACTGAAATTGTTCACAACATGAGTCCACAAATGTTAATTTTTCATCAAGAACTTTACAGAATTTTTTCTGGGCAACCTTTCATGATGCCGAGAACCTCTGTAAAAATTTTGATGGACATTTGACTTCAATCCATAGCTACTCAGAAAATTCTTTTGTAGCCGGTAAAATCATTTTTAATCAAGTGTATGTTCACTATGTTTTATGATCTAGAGCTGGCAAAATCAGGTCTTAGAATGACTGATAATGAACAGTCAACTTGGATAGGCCTAGTACGATCTAACCATCTAAATAGCAACTGGACAGATGACTGGATGTGGACTGACGGCACGAAGGTTGACTTCCTAGCATGGGCTCCGGATGAACCAAATAATTGGAAAGGAAAACAACGCTGTGTGCTGGTATGACTTTTACATAAACAATGGGGTTTCGGTGGCTGCAAGTATGTAATGCCTCCCAAGAAATTAAATCGATTGAATGACTGTTTGTTATATTCATATGCAAGCGGTTTAACATCTGCACCAACCGCAATTCGATCAAAAACATTGCTTGCATTGTATGGACGTAAAACCGCTGGTACGGTGCAGCTGCTGGGTCTGCTGTAGTACGAAGCAATCCCATGTGAGAAAAGCAATGGACTAGAAATAGTAAATTTTTGCTCAATCTGATTGTAGTACTG